TTATCATCAGATTAGATCATTTCTATTGGTCTAGTTTCACATTCACTGATTCCTTTCTCTGTGTTCTAATTCTACTCCAAGTCCAGTCAGTGATTTTTAAATTTCAGATTTTGTCCTTTTTAGTTTGGTACTTTTTTAATATATTTTTTTCACATGAGATTTCTTATTTTTCCCTCACTGAGATCATCTTTTTCTTCACATCATTGAGCATAGTTATAATCCTGTTTTTAAAATTATTGTCGGCTAATTTCACATCCAGGTCATTATAGAACTTGCTTCTTCTGATTGTCTTTTATTCTGACATTTGGTCACATTTTCTGGCTCTTCACATGTCAAGTCATTGTCAACTGTATCCTGGATGTTGTGACCTTTATATTTTAGAGAATATATATTCTATTATTCTCCTCTAAAGAACGATGATCTTTTTAGCAGCAATTAATTTGGATGAACTCAAACTACAAACCTTGCCTTTCAGGTAGTAGCTCAAATCTCAGTTCAGTTCTTTTTTCCTTAGGTAGGCTGCTTTGAGTCTAGCCTGCACATGTATGGGGCAGGGTCACTCAGAGAGAGGAGCAGTATTTATTCATAGAATATAGGGGTTTTTTTCTCTTCTTTTCTTTCTGGAAATCTCACTTTTATCTTCCAGTGGCCATAGTTGCACAGAACCCTGCACTCTCATTCTTTTGATTTTTTTTTTTTTTTTTTTTGGAGAGGTTTTCACCACAGGGTGCGTGCACTCACCAGACAGACAGAGAGAAACATAGAGACAGAAAGCAAGAAATCACCCCCCCCAGGGGGGGATGGTCACGCCACAATCCCTTCTCCTCCATTCTCCTCTTGGGATCTTGGGCACGCACGCACACGTACCCGGTGTGAGTTTTAAGCCACCGGGTCTGGGACGCAAACCACAGTTGACTACGTGGGAGTCCAGCGACATAGCCATTACGCTAACTGCCGGTTCCCGTGCACTCTCATTCTTCAGACCAGAAAGATGACAGGTCTTCCATGAAAGTTTTACCCTGCCATAAAAAATACATATTCAAGTGTAAACTTCCCTCTAGATCTATCTGATTGTGTTTACTCTCCAGTGCCTTTAGGTTGTTGTTTTTCACATTTTGACCATATTTTACAGCTAGTATCTGCAGAAGGGTTAACTTGTTATATGCTTTTATGGCTATGGTAGTGAAACAGTCTAAGTCTACCCAAACTTAAAATTCACTGTGCTAAGACCTCGGGAAGCTATAGAAAGAGAACATATAACCAGGTTTTCCATTATCCTAATTTTTAACTTTTACTATTCTTTATTAAATTTGCTTCTACAATGAGACAAACACACTCACACGCCTGCACACAACCTACAATTTAGCATAATTCAGAAAAATACTAGTGAACATCTGAGATATGGGCTTGTTTCAACAAAATAATACATATATTTGATGCAATAAATCTGAAAAAGAGTTACCTAGTAAGAAGTGAACACATGATCTTAAAGGAACATGTAGCATTTGTTATGAGAATATCACAGAATTTTAACATGGAAAGGACACAGAGTCATTAATCCAAGCTACTTAGATGTCTTTACATAAATTAATAATTCATAGATTCATTAAGTAAATATTTGCTGCATTATGTGTCAGACACAGCACCAGTTCTAAGATGCACAATGATGCTTGCAAAGTTTGTTTACTTAGTTATTTCGTACTTTACCCCTCAGTCTTATTTGAGTTATTAATTTGAACTATGTGCTTGATAAAGAAAAGGGAATTTTTATGTCACTGTTCAAATTCTTTACCAAATTTCGTAAGAGTTTGCTAGATTTATTTTTGTCTCATTGAACAACAATTTAATGTAAAATGCTAGGTGCCATGTTCTGGCCTGGGGTTGGACGCTATGATGGTTTGACATGTGTTTAGTGTCATCCTTACACCTGTACTTTCTTTCTGTAGCCAGCTTCTAGTGAAAACCTGAGACTTGTTAGGTAGCCTCGGATGATTCTTTCATTTACTCATTCATTCATGGATAAAATACTTATAAATGAATGAAATTAGGTCATGGTCTTAAGTTCTATGATTCAGAACTTGTTGACTTCTAAGCCAATCAGGAACAATGAGGAGATATTCACTATCATGTATATTTAGTTGTTCTTAACCAATGACAATATATATATATATATATATATATATATATATACACACACACACACACACACACACATATATATATATATATATATATTTAGTGAAATACATACAGAAAATGTTATAAATGTTAGTATATAAAGCTCAGGGAAATAACATTTCAGATTGTTAATTCCTTAGTAGGAAGTGCAGAGAAAGATAAAACTGGATCCTCATCTTTCACCATTAACAAAAGTCAACTTAAAATGGATCAAAGATTTGAACCTAGGATCTCAAACTATAAAAACTACTGCTGGAAAACACTGGGGAAACTCTGGGAGACATTGAAATAGACAAAGACTTCTTAAATAAGACTCCCAAAGCACACACAGTAATCCTCAAAATAGGCAAGTTGGATTACATCAGATTAAACAGTTTCTGCACAGCAAAGGACACAGTAATTAATGTGAATCACCAACTCTAGGAATGGGAGAATATTTCTGTAAACTATGCCTCAGATAAAGGACTGATAACCAGAAAACACAGGGAACTCAAGCGGCTTACCCAGAAAAAAAAAATGATTAACCCGATTAAAAGATGGGAAAATGAGCTGAACAAAAACTTCTCTAAGGAAGACATATGAACAGCCAAAAAGCATATGAGGAAATGCTCAACATCCCTCATCATAAGGGAGATGCAGATTAAAACCACAATGAGATACCACCTAACCCGTCAGAATGGCAAAGGTTAAAAATACAAAAAATGGTAAGTGTTGGCGGGGTTTTAGTGAAAGAGAAACTCTCCTACACTGTTGGTGAGAATGTATATTAATCCAGCTACTGTGAGAAACAATATGGAGATTCTCAAAGACCTTCAAATACAGCTACCATATGATCCAGCAACTCCACTCCTGGGTATCTACCCAAAGGACAGGAGAATGCTCAGTTGAAAAGCACTTGCACATCAATGTTTATTGTGGCATTATTCACGATTGCTAAGACATAGAAACAACTCAAATGTCCACGAATAGATGAATGGACTGAAAAGGTGTGGCCCATATACTCTATGGCATACTATTCAGTCATAAAAAAAAATACCCTGGCATTTAATATAAAGTGGTCAAATATGGAAGAATTACTGCTGAGTGAAGCAAGCCAGGCTATAAAAGAGAGATATTGGCTGTCTCCACTTAAAATATGCTGACTATCTGCACTCAATGGTAGAGACTGAAAAACTGGAGGATATAAAAGCAGTGAAAATAGTTATGGATCCTGGAGGCAGTGTAGAAGGAGGGTGGAAGAGGGGAAGAGCACAGGGAAGGAAATCAGGGAGAAAAAATAGAGACAAAACATCGGTGGGACACAGAAATGGTTTATTACCTGTTGATGATAACATGTATAGTATTCTCAACTGGATTGGTCTGAGCTGTATTTCATGCTGGGTAAATTCTCTTTATAAGCCAAATGATGTACAGCAATCAACTGTTTATGAAATAATAATAATAGTAATTTTTTAAAAAGTAGGAAGTGCATATGTCTCTTATAATGTCCCTGAGAAGTTGTTCAGTAACTTTACAATATGAATAAATTATAGCTTTGATAGCAAATCATAGAGTTAGGAAATGTGTTCAGTATTATAGAGGAAAGAAGACTCTAATGATAAATTAAAATATTTCTATAGCATATATTTTCAGGATCAGTTTTTATTTTGATTATATTCCACTATAATAAAGATTTGCACAATTACTGCTGTTAAAATTATTCTTAAAATAAATCCTATTACATAATTTGAACTTAGTAGGCAACTAAATGCAGTATAATTTTAGTTGCCAACAATGAGGCAAGCTTTATATTAACAATTAATCAGAACTGAAAAGAATCCTAAAATCTCTGTATCATTTGTCAGAAGCATAAGTGTTTCTATCTTTGGTATGATGTGACAAGATTAAATCCTTTTATGCTAAAAGAAGGAGAGGAACAATCACAACGCAAACAATTCTCAATATAGATATGGAGGAATTTGAGTGCATTGTTAGTGGTTAGCTATGAATGGAGAGTTTTGACTTAAGAGAAAAAGAGAACAGAAATGACTGTTAATTTTCAGTTTTTCAGTGCTAACGAAGAGAGGGGAGAAATTAAATGTTTCGTTTTAAAGGAGATTTGAAACTTAATATTACTAACAGAATCAAAATTTACATTGAACATTTCAACTACCCTATGTGGTACACAGTATGATTACTCTTTCAGAAATAAAATATCCCGTATATCTGGGAAGACTTCCTTTTATAGTCTTGAATGACTGTAATTGACTTACATCTCTCTAAATATCCTTTTTAAAGCTTTTTGATGGAAGAATTTTACTAAGAAAAAGTTTATACTGTGATCACTTATATTTACAAAACTTGGGTAATACAATTATGTGATTAATATGCCATGGTTATTATAGAGGAATATAAGATATATTTTTCTTCCTGTATCAAACCACAGGATCACTTGATCTGTCTCAGCAATCAGTAAAACCAAGTGACCTTTTTTCTAGACCACAGGCAAGAGATGAAACCCACGCCACTGAGTGTTTGTTAGAAATCGCTGCAGTTCATTTACTTGGCAGGAGACCTGTCATCTCTAAAACAAGCCTATTCATCACCAACTATCAAATTCAAGGCCCTCACGGCACCTGCTCTGAGTGCCTGTGTACGCACAGCTGAACCCTTTGCTCATCCGTTTATTTGGGGGTTGAGCAATTTTAGTTCTAGAGAACTAAGAAACAACATCCCTCTTAGTCTGTACAGTAATCTCCTTTGGTGACCTAATCCTGAGTTCTATAAACCCTAGGGGCACATTTAAACCACACATTAAAAAGTAGTTTGCTTTTCATCCACAGGAGGAAACCCTTCAGCGGGCACGAGAGGAAGAAGAAAAAAGAAAGGAGATCACAAGTCATTTCCAGAGCACCCTGACAGATATTCAGGGCCAGATAGAACAGCAGAGTGAGCGAAATATGAAGCTCTGTCAGGAGAACACTGAGCTCGCAGAAAAACTGAAAAGCATTATCGATCAGTATGAGCTCAGAGAGGAGGTAAGAAACACATCAGACAACTCAGAACTGTACACAGACCCAGATCTGGGTTAAAGGTGGAGGATTTTATTAATAAGAAAGTTGTGGCCAAACCTTTCAACTGGTTAATATTTAGGACTGGAATCCCTTTACTAGCCAAAATAAAGACAGATGGTGTTACAAAATACCTGGTTGAAAGGCGTATGGGATTTCTTCAAAACTCAAATTACTGTAAAATAAAGGCAGTAAATAGAAAGTAGCAGGCTATCAGCACAGTTATATTTGAAATAAAATTTCTCATTAAAAAAAAATCCTCTCTAAATAGCCAAAGATTAATTACAAACTACCTATTAAGAACTACTCTGTCACCTAAATTATAGGTCCATTTTCTACATACCCCACAAACCAATAATAGAATAATATAATAATAATAATGATATCATTTATTTAATGTTTAGTTTCTGTCAGGCAGTATACTAAGTACTGTACTTAGCACACAATATGGCTCAACAATCTTATGCACTAGATAATATATTATCTATAAAAATATTTTCATGTTATAGATGTGAAACAGAGGCTACAAGATCAGATCACTTACCCACAGCCACAAAAACCAAAAAACTTTTGCTTTCATTAATTCATATTACAGGGACCACAAGGGCCTTCTGTTATCCCCAAATTACATTTCAATATTTAATATGTGTTTAAGACTCCAACGTACCCTCAGGAACTTGATATATCATATTCCTTCCCTCATCACAGTCAAATTATAAATCCCTGTTTTAAAATGTAACATAACAGTCAAAATGGCTTTGTTGGCACGGTGCTAAGATTTTACCAAGAAAAAAAAAAAAAAACAAAAAAAACTGGGCCAATAGCGCCTGGTTGCAGCAGTTAGGTAAATTAAGAAACTCCTCACAGTAAACCTAACTCCATACTCTGCTTTTATCTGTCACAAGGATCAATCTCACAACAGAATAGAGGTTTAGACTAAAGATGGGAAGGAACAAAATAAAAAAACGTCCACGCACTTCAGAGAGCTCTCAGATGGAAACAACCTGGTATACTAGCTCCATGTTCCCGGGACTGGTTCTGGGTAAAGTCCAAGGGCAGAATCACATTTGTCCTTTCTGATAGGACCAAATGACTAAGAAATTCTTCATACTAAGATGGAACTGGAAGCTTCTCTTCACCTCCCAAGTACAGAGGTCTAAGACGCAGAGAACACAGGGGACATTTGCATGTCAATTCATCTGTGACCCTTGGCCTTGCCATCTCTTTCCCCTTTCCCACTGAACAACAGAGTAGACTTAAAGGGCTAGGCTAGGACCACATGCTGGTGGCCAAAAGATTCCTCATAGCCTTTGAGGCAAGAATGTGAAGAATTTAACATATTAAAGCATATTAATGTTATTAAAAGTTGTGTGTGCTGCGTGTGTGGGGGGGGTGGGGGGTGTTTTAGTTTTTTGTCACAGTCATATGAGTGCTTGCCAGAGAGAAGCAGTGAGAGGGAAAGTAACAAATCACTCCCTAGGGGAATGGCCATGCTGTAATCCCTTCTCCTCCATTCTCCTCTCCTCTCAGGATTTTTTTTCCCAGAGATTTTTGCTATAAGGCACGTGCACTCACAGGAGACACACACACACACACACACACACACAAAGTGAGAAATCGTTCCCCAGGGGGATAGCCATACCATAGCCCCTTTCCTCCATTCTCCTCTTGGAATTTAGAGCATGTGCACACACGCACACGCGCGCGCACACACACACACGCACACTCAATGAGCCCAGCGTGAGTTTTAAGCTGCCAGGTCTAGGACTCCATCTGCAGGTGACTACATGGGAGTCCAGCGACGTAACCATTATGCCATCTGCTGGTCTCTCCTCTCAGGACTTTGGGCATACACGCACATGTACCCAGCATGATTTTCAAACCACTGGGTCCAGGATTTGAACTGCAGTTGCCCATATGGGAGTCCAGCACCTTAACCACCACACCACCTCTGGCCCCTAAAAGTGATTTTTATATGCATAGAAAGAGACAAAATACCAAGTGTTAGTACTATAGCGCTTGCAATATACATCCCTGTCTGTGCTGTTCCGCATAATAAATAGCATCATCTCTAATAGTTACCAAGTTTAGAAAATGATGTTGGGAACTTTTGGTAATAACACTGCTGAACTCTGGTGCCTCTTCCTTTTGCATGTACTTTTGTGTGGTACGAAATGTGGACGGCTTCACCAAATGCACTGGGAGTAAATGTCCTGGCATTTATTTTCAATTTAAATCTTAAAACCTGGAGAATGTGTATTCATGTGAACTTTTGTTATATTTTTAAGTGTCAATAATAAGCCAAGCTTTATATGAATACTTTATTTTCTGCAGCATTTGGACAAAATATTTAAACACAGAGAACTGCAGCAGAAGCTCGTGGATGCAAAGCTTGAGCAGGCACAAGAAATGATGAAGGAAGCAGAGGAGCGACACACACGAGAAAAGGAATATGTACTTATCATTTTACTTGGTGTGCATATCTGGTCTACTTTGGTGTCACAGACTCTCTGAGGAAGTTGTTTTGGTAGTAGTCAAAGAGCACTAGACTGATGGAGGAAGAGCCCGAGATTCTAAGGAGAACTAAATTGATCAGATTAGCATGAGACCCTGTATCTACACTATTTTCACAGAAAATATTCATTTATTAAAAAGATATTTTTAAGTACTTGTTATCTGCTAAGCAACATATTAGGTGCTGGGAAATAGCTGTGAATAATATGGAGAAGGATCGTTAGAGTCTAGCTGGGAAGAGGCAGGCAATAAGCAAGTAAATGAGAAAGGTAACATCAGATAATAATAAATACTGCTAGAGAAATAAGGAGGAACTGAGAAGGGGATCTACTTTAGACTGGGTGACCAGGAAGGCCTCCCAAAGAGGAGGGTGCCTGTGCTAAGCCCTGTGTGATGGCTCCAGCCACATGGCGAGTCATTTCTAGCAGTAGTGTCTACACCAGCAGCAACAAAGGCCCCAATATGGGAACCGGCGTGGCATGCTCCAGAAATATAATAGAAAGAGGTCAGGGAAGCAAAAGCATGTTGACCAATTAGGAAAAGGGTTCAATATGAAATTGAAGAGGTATGCAGGGAACACACTGTGTATGCATGAAAAGTAGATTGTATTCTAAATATAGTGGGAAAGTTCTGGGTAGTTTCAGGACAGGAAGTGGTATGTTCTGCTTCACATCTGAAAAGGTGAATTTGGCTCGTTGGTGGAGAATGGGCTACGGAGGAATGAGAAAGAAGAAGACAGAGAGTGACTATTATGTAGTCCAGAGGAGATAGGATGAAGACTTGGGTTAGGCAGGTAGCGATCAATAGAGAAGGAAAGAGGGAGATGGATAAAAGGTGTTGTGGTTGTTCGAAGTTTATTTATTTCTTCTATGAGAAAAAAAAGAGAGAGAGAAGGAGAACCTTCATGCTGCCCCCTCCCCCGACCTCCACCCCCGAGTCCCAGCCTCAGCTAGCCAGGATCATGAGTGTGTGCCCTTGGCATGTACAGGGAAGCCCAGGACTTGAACCAAATGGGTGACCTTCCCAAGTGGGTCCAGCTTTCTGAAATTGTACACCAAGTTCCCAACATTGTTTAGTAACTTGCTCATGAACTCTCTTAAGTCTTATAAACAAATTATAGCCAAGGGGTAATGAAGAGGCAACCTGAGTCTTTGCATGTGTTCTCTCTTCCCACAGTTGCTGAACCAGGCAGCAGAGTGGAAACTGCAGGCCAAAGTGCTGAAGGAACAGGAGACAGTCCTGCAGGCTCAGGTGAAATGGGGGAGGACAGGGCAAGGGTATGATCTCCTTGCTATTGCCAAGAGGCTGGGGACTGAAGGTAGTCTGCAAACAGCCTTGTCTGTGACTGGGGACAGGAGGATAGGGGTTGGAAATTAAGAGTAACTTCACATGCATTGTTTTTAAGAAAAATAGAGCCACAATATTACATCTGTGAAAATGAAATTCTCTACACCACCAAAATCCAGCCAAAAGTTTTGTTGATGAACAAAAAATGGCACCAGAATGGCCCGGCAGAGTAAGCTATATCCAGGCTCCCAACTACAAGGAGTCTTCAAAAAAATTCATGGAAAGTGACTATCATGAAAAAAGCTATACATGGATTTTAATATTTTTGAAGGTTTTTCTTTGTTTTTGTTTGTTTGGTTTTTTTCCTTATTCAATGACTCAGAGAGAACAAAAAAATATTGACAGAGAGACAGCACTCCTAACAAGGTCTTGATGGCATGATCCACCCTCAGCTCCAGCCAGCCTCATATAATGGACACATGTGCACTCAGTATACTCAGGGAGTTTTGCAGAAACTAACGCTCAACATTCCCATGTGAGTTAACCTTGCAATATGTCACATTTTACTACACCAGCACAGTCCAGTCCCCCTCTCCCCAGAAAAAAAAAAAAGCTTACATCAAAATAAACTCACTCTTTAAATCCACTTTTTCCACAGACTTCTTCTTTTTTTTTTTTTTTTGTTGAGGTTTTTGCTATAGGGCGCGTGCACTTGCCAGACAGACAGAGACAGAGAGACAGAAAGCGAGAATTCACCCCCCAAGGGGCCCAGCGGGGATGGCCACACGGCAATCCCTGCTCCTCCATTCTCCTCTAGGGATCTTGGGCACGCACGCACACTTGCCCAGCGTGAGTTTAAGCCACCGGGTCTGGGACTCAAACCGCAGTCGACTACATGGGAGTCCAGCAACATAGCCATTACGCTAACTGCTGGTCCCTCCACAGACTTTCTGAAGTCTCCTCATATCTGGTCATATTTCTTCTCTCTCTCCTCCCCAATTTCCCCAAGAAGAAAATGTCAACTATTCAGATGCACTACCTATGACTGGCAATTCCTAAGCTGTCCTCACATTTTGATATTATTCATAATTAAAAAAAAAATGAGAAAGAGTCAGTGCCCAAGTTCCTGTGCTTCCAGAAGTTGGCCTTGTCAGTGGTGAGTGACAAGAAGTGCCAGGCAAGTCAGAAGCCGTTTAGACTTGCCTTTGTGATACCATTAGCATGTTTGATTAGACTGCTGGATTTCTATTTCAAGGTGCCATAGCAGATTCTGGGGGAAAGTCAGCCCTGGTCTCTGCCCATCCTGGAATACATTTCCTGTCAGGTTTAGGAGAACTTTCTTACCTGAAGCCATGGAGGGGCTCTAGCATTGCTGACAGAAGAAATGCCCAAGCCGTAAAGAGATGGTGAGATCACAGAAAGCAAAGTCACAAAAGGTGAATAAGATGCCTTCCAAATGGGCAGTGTTCATTGAGATTTGTAAATGTTTACGTGCTGACTGCTGAATACTTGTTTTGTTTTGTTTTGTTTTTAAAAAAAGATGTATAAATGAAAAAGCTGATTGTAAGATTTTTTTAAAAGCAAGAAATTTAAAATCACAATTATGTCACTGCATAGACAAAAGCTGCACAGATAACATCTTCTCATCTAGCCTTCTAAAAGCCTTCTTTTGTAAATGTGTACATAAAATGCAACATGATTTTCTCCAGTATGATCTAGTTCTGATCATATATAAAAACAGTTCAAAAATACGAATTACCTAGAGGTTGGAATCATAATGTTTCTGACATTAATAGAATCAAAGGGCCCAGAGATGGACTTGAGGCAGTCACAGGACCCATCACATCACAGTGTGGGGTGAGCGGCAAGCAGTGATAGCTCTCTAGCCAGGAGGTAGGCAGGGGGAAATGAGGCTTGACCTCACAGCCTAGGAATGAGAAGAAACCCAGAAAATCAAGCCAGGGCTTCTGACTCTATCCCTGCTTCATTCACAACACAGAGCCTTGAGAAGAACCGGGGACAATATTTGAAGCTCTGCATTGTTCACATCATCCATTACTAGCAATCTCTTCTCCCCAATGCTAAATGAGGATAACAAACTTGACAAGGGTAGATTGACATGAGATTCTTAGCTAGAGAGTGATTCATTCAACTGGTATCAGAATTCAGGCCATTAATGACCTGAGAAAGACAAATACAAAAGCTATGATCCAACATCTCACCTACATTCCCTCAAAGTCGAAAAGCACCTATCAGAGATGTGCATCATTTCTCATGCATACCTCAGTCCTAAACTGATTCCAGGCATCAGGTTCAGAGTTCTGCCCCTCTGCTAAGCAGCTATGTGACCCTGTACAACTTACCTAACTTCTCTGGACTTAAATTTCCTTGTCTGTAAACTGAAGATGCTGTAATAAACCAATGGTCCCAAGATGGAGTCCTCTGACCTCTGGGAAGCCCATTTTTTGGGGGTCAGTATTTCCAAAATAATGGCACAGAAAGCAGCAGCTACTCTAAAATACAATTGTTTCTAACATTATATCATCTCTTTCTCAGCAACTGTAGGTGGCAATTGTTCATATGGTTACATTTCCAAAATGAATGTGAGTTAATGAATATGTAATATGTATAGTTTGTTTTCAAATTATGATGCAAAGCACTTAGTTCAGTGTCTGGCTTATACTAAATTTAATTAATTCAACCAATAATCATTGAGCACCTACTAAGTGCTAAGTATGATTCTAGATGTTGGATATATAATAAGAGAAACAAAAATCCCTGCCTAATTGAACTCATAATCTAGTGATAATAATGCTAATAAAAATGCTAACTATTAATTAATACATGAGATAGTATTTTATAGGTGAAGACCTACTGGGAAATAGAGACAAAGGGAGTCTTTAGTTGAAGAACCACTGGAAAAGTGATCACAAGACCCTGTTCAGCTCTAATTCATGAGCCTAGAGAACTCTCAGAGCTAAAGCAGCCTCGTCTTCAACTAAGTTAACCCTGCCTTCCCCGTCATTGCCTACTGTTTTCCACAGTGCAGGCAGCCTCCTAGTTTCAATGACTCTCCTTGTCTTCCTCTTTTGTCTCCAGAGCACTTTCAAAACTCCAATACTTACTTAATCATCACAAAGGAAATAGCACCAGACCCCTAGTATATCAGTTAAGGGAGCCAGATCCCATGAGGCTAACCGTAATTCAAATCCCAGAGCTTGAAGCTTGAAAGAGAAGCTGGGTATATGTGCATGCATACCCAAAGTGCTGACAAGATAGACAAATGGAGGAAAAAGGATTGTAGCATGACTATGCCGCATTGAGGGACTCTCTCTCTGTTTCTCTCTTTCTCTCTCTGATAATCACAGGTACTCTCTGGCAAAAATAAATAAATAAATAAGGGAGAGAGATTTCCTTCTTTTTCTTTTCTTCTCTTATTTTTATTTATTTTTTTATTTTTATTTTTTTTGGAGAGGTTTTTGCTATAGGGCAAGTGCACTTGCCAGAAAGACAGAGACAGACAGAGAGACAGAAAGTGAGAATTCACCCCCCCAGGGGGGATGGCCACGCCACAGTCCCTTCTCCTCCATTCTCCCTCAGGATCTTGGGCACGCACGCACATGCACCCGGTGTGAGTTTTAAGCCACCGGGTCCAGGACGCAAACCGCAGTTGACTACATGGGAATTCAGCAACATAACCATTACACTAAGTGCTGGTCCCAAAAAGAGATTTAAATGAGGAAAAAAAAAAGAGGCCTTAAATCCCTATGTGTAAAAATACTTCAACAAATTCCTCTTGAAACTCTTGAAAAGTATCAACATTGCATATATATATCTACACACACACAACACATATATACACACACACATACACACATACATACATATACATATATATTAAGGTTTTTGTCATAGGGCACACACACTAGCTGGAGAGAGCCAGAGATAGCCAGAGTGAGAAAGTAAGAAATCACTCCCCTGTGAGACAGCCATAGCCCAATCCCTTCTCCATTCTCCTCGAGTGATTTGGGGCACGCATGCATGTGTATCGAGCATGACTTTCAAGCTGCCAAATTCAGGACTCAAACCACAGTTAGCCATGTAGGAGTCCAATACCTTAACCACCTCGCAGCCTGCTGACCCCTAGATATTATATTTTTAAACATTTAAATCTTGAAAAAGAAGCTCTAACATGGACTATCTTGAATAGTACTCAAGACAGCTTCCTTGGTTTCGCATTGTCTTTGAAGCAGTGTGAGTTGCCAGAGGCCATGATCTTTGTCCGCATTTGTAAAGTCTGAGCAAGAGAAATATCAAGGAAGATTTATGTTGTTTTGTTATTTTAGACTGAAGTTACTTTTCAGTCATGAGACAACAGTTTGCCAGTTAGGGGCATGTTTCTCACTTAAGGAAGAAATGTCTGGCTTTCAATTATACAAACCAAAGCAATAGAGTAAATGTCAGAGATGATCAATGGGATACAATTGTCACTACAAATAGAGTGTTCACAGGATCAATAGGATGAAGACAGTAGTAGATGAGGAAAGTGAGCAGTGTCTGACAATGTGGACACAAAATACTGCCCTGGGGGAAAGATTAGTGAGTAAACTGTTTAAAACACACAATCATAGTCTTTCAAATCAGAAATCCTCGCCATATATTTCCAGTATGAGAGAAGATCCCTTTGCAGCTTCTCTTAGAATAGGATTTGCTCCAAACAAAATCTCACAGGTTTGCTAAGACAATCCCTAGACACAGTTCTATGTTCTATATTCTAGGAATGTTTGTAATTAAAATTTGGTGCTCACTTAAAAGAATGTGTGTGTCACTTGGCCCACTTAAAAATGAAATATTGAGGCACTTGTTGTTATTTCTAACCATAGAACAGCTTGTTTCTATTTCTGCCTCTGGCAGGAGTAACATGGTGCACGACCTCTGGATGTCCCTTTCATGTTCCTCTGCAACACCAAAGTGAGAGTGGGAAGATGACACATCAAACCAAATATCATATCAGCATAAGAGTCAGAGGGAAAATGTTACCATATACATATCATTCAGTAAATAGGAAGAATAATTCTTAGTATAAGAAGAGAGTATTTGAGTTAGTTAAGGTTTTGCCACCTATGGCAAATAGGTCAAATAGAAAGAAAAGTAGAATATTAAAGACTGCTCACTAGAAGAGGAAATGGGAAGTGGTTGTTTAATGGGAATAGTTTCCATTTTGCAAGAAGAAAAAGTTCTGGAAATTGGTTGAACAACAACATGAACATACATAATAATATAGAACTGTTCACTTAAAAACAGTTAAAATGGTAGATTTTATGCTATGTATACAGGGGGCTTCACATGACTTTGGAAAAAATAGAATCAAAGTGCATTGTACAAAATTTTTTTTTGAAATCAATGTGTTGCTTTTTCACAATATGCATTCTATGAACTTTTTAAAAACTCCTAGTATTTTACCACAATTAATTATATTTTCTTTTTAGGCTGAGGGAAAACAAAACAAAAACAGTGGCTAGAAAAAGTCCAGATGAGGTGGTAATGAAATAAGGCACATTTGCCTTCTCTAAGTCTGAAAAAAAAAAAAAAAAAGGGAAAGGGAACAAAATTTGCCCAATTAATACACCAAAAAGATCATTCTCCTATTTTAAAAAGACTTTACTTGAGATGTGATGAAAAAATCTTACAGATAGATATGAGAAAGTAAGACTGATGACAGTTGAGTGAATACAATCTAACCAGAAAGATTTAGTATCTGTCAGCTAATGTGGAAGGTGAAATTCTAGGTGTGGATGCTTCGGGTGATTCAAGGATGCATCTGTGGGCTGAAGCACACATGGGCGCATGCCTGCCACTTTCTGTCTGCAGCCTGCAACTACAGGCTGTAAGAAGGCTTGAGTCTCCCATGTGAACTCTGCTGAGATAAGTGACAAGTTGGAAAAAGAATGGAAAAGAAGTAAGGAAAAAAAGTTAGCAGAAAGGAGTTGGGCAAGAACATGTATGAACAAATTTTGTGATAGAACATGACCAGTATCTACAAGAAGCTATTATTTCTATCCTGAGTAAATGGATAATGCAGTGTAGACAGCCAGCCCCACAAGACCTTACCTTAGGGTAGAGCATCTTAAACCACTGAGCCATTTGTGTGTCTTGAAATCAATTCAGTGAATCCCAGCCAGTACTTTGAGAAAACAAAAAAGAAAAGAAAAAGAAATACAACTGGATAGAGTATGACAAAGTACACTGCACATAAGAGTAAATATTGTCTTCCACACTGTGTGCGCTCATGCACTTGTGTGTGTGTGTGTGTGTGTTTGTGTGTGTGTGTGTGTGTGTGTGTGTAAAACCGGCAGCCACTTTCTTGGCATGAATTTCCTAATGCCCCATTTACTCATTCTTCAATCTGTATGCCAAGGAATCGTACAAATTTTAGTGCTGTCACACGAAGTGCTAATGAGTGATTTCAAGATGATGACCAGATGCTGTTTAACTTTTCTTTGGATAATCCATATTGTATGGAAAGGATTTATGTTATCATTTTATTTATACAGCAAAACCTCTACTATTCTGGATTATTTGGGAATAACCCATCTTAGATAAGCAATTTTCTGGGCTCAGGGATTGCCTGACTCCTACAAACCCCCACTAACACTCATCCAATACTGGGAATTCTCCAACCTACTGGCTGTCAGGGTGCACTCTATTTTACTTCAAGAAAGTCAGTCCTACAGATACCACCAGCTGCTCAGTGGAGGCCTTTCAATAGCCAATAACCCTGCCATCTCAGTTACCAACTGCATCTGAGGGTTTTTGTTTATTACTGAACAGTACAAGTTTGCTTCTTCACACAAAGATGTTTTTGTGTCCATTTGAGGTCTTGGAACTGATCTGGACACTCAATAGAACCAAAGACTCATTTTAAAATGGAGGCTTTACTAATTTAAATCATCCAAACTAAACGTTCACTCACTCAAAACACGCTATCTAGTATTATTGGGTCGTCAGGAAAGTCATGATGCATTTTTGCATAGAAAAACAGAAAAATACATCATGACCTTCCTGATGACCTAATATTTTTAAAATTAAGGCTGTATTGTTTTATTACTGTCAATAACCATCAAGTGTTTACATATTTTCCATCCCTGTGCTTCTTCATTCCCTCCCCAATGCATGGCTTGGAATTAGGGATACAGAAATACAAATTTCTTCTTTATATCCCTATCTATGGTGAGTCACATGCCTAGCAATGCTAACTCAGGATGCTTGTGTGCCAATGACTCATTACTTCCATCTGTAGAAAGTTGACATAATACAGTGGTTCTAATGAAAAGATATATTTAATTGCTAATGACTAGAACACTATTAATTAATTCACAAATCTATGCTGTGTAAAGCAGAAATGGCAACACTTAGAGTTGTTTGACAGTGGTATGACAGGGGAAAGGCCCACATTTCCTTTATCACTCGTTTGTTTACATTCTCCTTTCTTTCAAGACCAAATTCAAGTCTCACCTCTACAAACATATGGTTCACACAATCACCTGCCATGCTCACCTTCTCTGAGCACCCACTGTCCTTAGCTGACTGATCACTTTATAAGTCACCCTCCTGTTGTCAACTTGTCTTGGAGATCGTCTTCCCATGAGGAATGCTGGTTCCCCAAAAAACAGGATCAATGGGTTAAATACTTCTGTATAAACTAAGTTTGGTGCTTAAGGAATGTATTTCAAACAAAATTATGACATTTTACTTCATTTTTCTTTAAAAAGGCATTTTTGATCATGCTCCCTAACTTAGAATTCCCTCATAGGGAATAAAACAACTGAACATATTAACACTATGTTGTGATTTCCTTTAAATCATTTTTTCTTCTCAATCAACAATGACATATTGTTTTGTTCTGGAACCATTCTAAAAGCAACCCTAAAATAGATCCACTCTTTCTCGTCTACAGTTAACTCTCTACTCAGGAAGGTTTGAAGAGTTCCAGAGCACACTGACAAAAAGCAATGAGGTGTTTGCCACTTTCAAACAGGAAATGGATAAAGTGAGTATTGTTTATCACCCACAAAATATTGACATTTTCTATTTTGACAGGCCAAATTTCCTTTGGGTCCACTTATCTTTCACCAAGGTATTTCAGTGCATTTTATGAAGTAATGAAATGTTTATAGGTACAAATGAGGTTTGGACTGTGTGTTTTTATTGGTAAGTACCAGGTGAATTTATCTTAGCAAGAGTCCAAAAACAAAAGGATATCTTTTCACTCCGAGTAAGAATATTTCTTTTTCTACTTCATGGATTGCTTTGGGAGAAAAAAAAAAAAAAAAAGTAAGAGCTAGCAATTTAACATTATATTATATATGCTGAAGAAAATTTTAATCTTCTAAAGATAAAAAAACTTTCATATAAATATGAAAAAGTAGAATGTTAAAATATAAAATGCCATTTTATAAGCTCCTTCTTAGAAAGATACATAATGATAGAATTAACAGAGTCCTGAATGAGAAGATATACGCCTGAATCTAAACTCTGAATGGGTTCATACTCATCAAGTAGTGTTGGACAATTCACTTAACTTCCCTGAATTTTATTTTTCATATTTACACACTGAGATATTATTTCCTATACCTACCTCATAAGATATTAAAGTTCAAATAAATTAATGCATCTTAAAAGAGCTTTAAACTTTTAAGTCTTTTATAAACATAAGGTATTAATATTATTGTTAGATATAATATTTAAATCTTGTTCAGTTCAGTTTCCCCATAAAAAATAAGCATTGAAACTGTTTCTAAATAGGCAATGGTATTAAACAATTTAAAGTATAAAGTCATTTATTTAAAAACATCTTTATAAAATAGATCTCACAATTATGTGATCAATGTCAACACATGTTAAAAGTTAGTTTTTTCATCATCTATAAAAATTATTTTTAATTCAAAAGATTGGAATAAACACTAGAACAGAAAAAAAACAACAAAACTTTTTTTTAGGTTTTTGCCATAGGGCTTGTGGGCTTATCAGGGAGAGATAGAGAAAGGAAAAGTGAGAAATAACTCCCCAAGGGGGATGATCACTTTGCAATCCCTTCTCCATTCTCTTCTAGGCATTTTGGCCACACACACACAAGCACCTGGTGTGATTTTCAAGCCACTGGCTCTGGGACTTGAACCACGGTTGGCCATGTGGGAGTCCACCACTTTAACCACCAGTCCACCTGCTGGCCCCAACACTTTTATTTTTTATTCAAAATTACATAGTTTTCAGATTGAAATAAATGCTAAATAAGGAGTCCTTGGGACCAGCAGATAGCATAATGGTTACACTGTTAGACTCCCACATGGTCAACCGTGGTTCAAGTCCCGGACTCCACACACTCATGTGTGTGTGCATTCCAAAATCCGGAGAGAAGAATGGAGGAGAAGTGATTGCAGCTTGGCTATCCCCCCTGGGGGATTATTTCTTACTTTCTGTCTCTCTCTGTCTCTCTGGTGAGTGCACCATCCCCAAAATTAAAAAAAAAAATGTGTGTATATATATCTACTAAACAAGGAGTTCTTAGTCCTGGTCAATGTATGGACTTTATAGCAACTGACCCAAAAGTTCATTGGAAATTAGCAAAAAAATGCTGGTATGTTTGCATTTCTCTGACATGTTGTCCCATAGACCTCATTAAATTCTTAAAGGTATTGATGATTTTTAAAGTTTACAAACTACTAATTTAATTAATATGAGGGGATTTCATAAAGTACGTGGGAAAAAATGGAATTAAAGTATACATTTATTTTTGTGCAAAAAAATCTGAAATTCATGTATAGTTTTTCATAAAATACATTTTCCATAAACTTTCAGTGGAGCCTGCATATGTGATTTAAAAAAAAAAAATCTGAAGAGCCAGGGCCTGCCAGTCTGGACCCAGCTTCCAGCCTCCATGGTTACCTGGCTTGGGCTGCCTGGAACCCAGTAATAAAAGGGCCCAGGTATGGTTCATCCATGGAAACCATGTCCTATTGCTTGCTTTGTCCTTCACTTCATCCAAGCACAGAGAAGGCCCTAGAGCCAAGAGCATGCAGAGTGTCGGGTTTGAAAAGACAGGCTACATACATTACTTTCACTTCTGGATCCCTCACACCCTGCCCAGGGCCCCCTGACCAGCAGACACTCTGCCCTTGCTGCATTACATGGAATGAATCAACTCTAGCTCCATTCTTCTCTTACCTCATCTGAATACTGCCCCACCTCCCACAGTCTCAGTTTTCCCATTTATAAAGTGGAGGTGAAAACAGAACCTCATTCAAGGAACTGTTTTAAGAATGAAATAAATCATGCATGTAATTGCACTTCATGAACCCTATCTCACTCTACAAATGTAAAGACTGAAAACTGGAAAGCGCTGTAGTGGGGCTACTCCTCGAATGTGACCAGATATTATCAACACTGTTCATAAAGAAGTATTTATTAAGTCTTATATATTATTGGTTTTTAACCTGACCAGAGAGAGACACCAGGAGAGAGAGAGACAGAGAAAATGAGAAAGCAAGCCAACAGGTCCAGGACTCAAACTGTGTTCTGCCACATCAGAGCCCAGAGCCTCAACCACCACGCTACCTATTTTAAACGAAAGGAGGCAACAACCAGTGTGCCCCTAAGTAGTTTCCTTCTTCCTCAATTGGCTGGGGTGCATATAACTTTGCTCACCACTAACCTAGATAGCTCAGAAATAAACCATGACGCTCCTGAGAACTTCATTCTTGGCATCGAACACTTCCTTGCTTCAGCAGCTGGTAACAGAAGATATTTGATGTCACATATGGAACTGATAGCTTCCTTGATAGAGTAACTCTTCAGGATCAACAACACTAAAATACTCTAATTGCTGTAGACTACTAAGAAAATGAAGAAGCTGGAAAAGGACACCGCCACATGGAAAGCCCGATTTGAAAACTGTAACAAAGCTCTGTTGGACATGATCGAAGAGGTGAGGACGCATGTTTTTCCTTTCGCGCTTGTCCCCCATTCAGTCACAATATTCATACTTAACATATAACTTAAATACACTACAAATAATTGTTTGTAAAAAGGCTGAGGGCCCGGGGGGGGGACGGGGAATATGATATATAAAGAGCTGTTTCCAAAGCAGCACCACCCCTGCCTTAAAGGTTGGATGAGTGTCTTACTTTGAATGGAGTTTCCCTAGTTCATCACACATAACAGGTACAGAACAAGTTGATTAATAAATCAGAATACATTGAGAGAAAACATCAGTGCAAATACCCAGGATTTGTGCTACTTTATAGACATATATAGAGATAAGTAATTTTTAATTACTCCAACAGGCTTTTAAATACTGAAACTATGTCAAGCTCTGAGTAAGTTTTGAGAATCAAAAGGCAAAGTTACATGGTCCCTGGGTCCCTGAACTGAGAGGCAGGGACCCTGGTGAAGGCCTTTCCATATAAACAAGTGGAGGGGGAGGGGGGGTCTTTAAGGTACAGAGTAGCTTAAAGATAAGGGTGAGAGAGTGAAATGATGAGCATTTTCAAGCACAGACACACCAACTTTTTTTTTTTTTCAATAGGACGTGTGCGCTCACAAGAAAGACAGGGAAACAGAAAGCAAGAAATCACCTCCCAGGGGGAATAGCCATGCCGCAATCCCTTCTCCTCCATTCTCCTCTTGGGATCTTGGGCACACATGCACATGCACCTGGCATGAGTTTAAACTGCCGGGTCCGGGACTCGAACCACCAACGACTACATGGGAGACAAGCGACATAGCCATTATGCCAACTGCTGGTCCCTACATCAACATTTTTAGAGAAAAGAACTGAATAGTTTGAGCAGCCAGCAACATGAATTAGTGTGTGGTTAAGTTTCTATGGTTCCAATTACTATCCTAACCATTCATCCCAAATTGCAACCACTTCCTAAGAGATATGTTTATTACTCATCAACATAAATCAAATGGTTGTTGGAATTAACAGCAGTTTATCCATAGAATAGATGGGGCACTGCTGAAGGCCAGCACTCAGTCTGTCTCCTTCAGTCTGCCACAAGCTTTTAGCTTCTGCCTTCTCTTTTTTTTTTTGGAGAGGTTTTTACTATAGGGCGCCTGCGCTGGCAGGGCAGACAGAAAGACAGACAGAAAGACCGAAAGCAAGAAATCGCCGCCCCCCCCCCCCCCGGGGGGATGGCCACGCCTCAATCCCTTCTCTTCCATTCTCCTCTCGGGATCTTGGGCACGCATGCACACGCACCTGGCGTGAGTTTAAGCCACCATGTCCGGGACTTGAAGGGAGGTTGACTACAAGAGTCCAGCGACATAGCCATTATGCCAACTGCTGGTCCCACTTCTGCCTTCTCACAGACAATCTACCTACTTTAAGATTTCAGAGTCTCTAGATTAAAGCAGAAAGAGGCCTACCCATCTTTATTTCCTAAAGAAGAGGCTTCAGGGACTGAAATTCTACCAGACTCTAACACATAATGCAAAAAAGGAAGTCATGTCTCTAACCAAGATCTCTTGAGCCACCATTCTGCAGCCAGACCCGAGTCCAGTAGACAAATTGTAGGACAAATGGTTTTGTTTGGCTTCAGAGATAGCTCTGCTTTTCATGTTTAATGTGTGTTTTTATATTCGTGTTTTCTAATCACAGAAAGCGCTGAGAGCTAAAGAATATGAGTGCTTCGTGATGAAAATCGGGAGACTCGAGAATCTCTGTCGTGCTTTACAAGAAGAGAGAAATGAACTCTACAAAAAAATCAGAGAAGCAAAAACGCAGGATAAGGATGACCAAAGTCAGCCTACCTCCGATGAAGAGCCAGGGTCACATGTCCCCGCCGATCAGGAGGTGGATGCAGAGGAGGTCAACAGCGTGCAAAAGGCCGTGCAGAATCTGGCCACAGCCTTCATGGTCTTTCATTGCCCAGAGTCAACCCCCGACCAGTCCACAGAAAGGGAACCAGAACTGGGCAGTCCTCGAGGGAGCGAGGACGCTGCCTCCACCGAGCCAGAACAACACTCGGTGACGCGGTCAGGGATCTCAGAGAGTCCTCTGCCTCCCATAACTGCTCAGGCTGAGGCCGAACGGGGTAACGAGGCGGAACCGCCTGCTGAGGCCAGTAGTCCCCCTGCCTGCTCTGGAGCAGAAACCGGAGGAGACTGCCACCCCGCGGGAGCACCGGCTGATGCTCAGCAGCCCCGGAAGCCAGATACAGGAGCTTCCGGTCAGGGCCTGCAGTCCGCAGCCGAGGCCTCCCTACCGGCCGTCAAGGCTAACGGTTCCGAGCTAGCTCCTGCAGACGGTGAGCAAGTTCCACCTGGGGTGCCTGGAGGTGAGCCCAGTAGGCATCCCCCGCCAGCCCCAGCAGAGACCTCAGCCGGGTCCCAGCTGCCCAAAGTGACCGACACCAATCTGGAAGGAGTAGACTGAACCTCGTCATCCAGAGGCTGTTCTTCCTTACTTCGCGCCTTCGCCAAAACAGACTGTCTTCTGAAAGAGCCATTAAGGGCTCGGATATCAAATGCAAGAGAATTAGAATCAAGACCTTTTCAATGTTATGCGGAGTACATTCAGCCTTTGCTCTTTGTTCTTGGTTTATGCTTTTCTATTTAACGCTGGTTGATTTTCCCAATGGCAACAAAACATACAACAGCAAAATTATATTACTTTCCCATTAAGCCAGCATTTAATTCAGTTTCTTAATCAATGATAAGATGCGGTGTTTAAGTCCTCCATTGCAATATATATAATCCTGAAAACGTGATATTCTATTTATTTCTATGCATAGTTTAATAAATTTCATTGAATTAATGGATGTCCAGTTTCCATTTAAATAGTATATATACATGCTACATGCACATATGTGTGTATATATATGATTTATACACATAGGTGTGCAAATATGTACATACATGTTTATATACCTGTTTATAAATATATATATATTTATACATTTTAGGTTGTTGTCATAGGGCTCATGCCCTTGTCAGAGATAGACAGAGACAGAGTAAAAGTGAGAAATCACCCCCAGGAGGCATGGCCATGCAGCAATCCCTTCTCTTCCACTCTCCTCCAGGGATTTGGGCACACACACACAAGCACCCAGCATGATTTTCAAGCTATCAGGTCCAGGACTTAAACTGTGGATGGCCATGTGGGAATTTAGCACCTTAACCACTACACCCCACCTGCTAGCCCCTTATATGTATATTTATTGATATATACCTAAAATATATGCATGTATAGAAATGTATATATTACACATACATCTGTCTCCTTTGCAGTTTCTCTCTATGCAAATTATTTAGATATTAATCAAAAAGTTATCTCTTACTTGTGCTTGGAACTACAGTAAATACTCTATGAATCAGAAGTAGGCTCAGAATATAAGTATTTACTCCATGATTACATTAGGCAAACATAAGTAACCCAATAATTGATCCATAAATTCAGCCAATTGATCAGTGACAGAATAGCAGTTAGGTTAGATTGTAAGTCTATGCAGACTGCATGGGCACAAAGATGGCTAAAGAGGCCCAAAACAGAAAGGGAAATAATGGTAGCAGTAGATTGTTCATCTCTTACAGCTGCTTATCATAAACATAGTCCATTGCCTTGCAAGTCCCTTCTGTGGTGAGGCAGCCCACCGAAAAGAAAGGGTTGGAAGTAGGAAAAGGAACTAGGGATTCTCAGATTGAAAAGAGGTCTTGCCCTTGTCCCCTTCATTGATCTCAAGACAGAATGTTCACTAATTGCTGTCACTAATTTATTCTTCACATATCTCAGTATCTGCTCCTTCTTTCCAGACTCCCTCCTTTACACAGGAAATTATACCCTGTACTTAATTAATGCTAAATTAAACTGTTATTTTTTCCAAAACAGAAATCGCATAGTCTCAATATGAGTGATGAAGCTTATAGACCTGTATATTTTCTGTTTTGAGGTTTTCTCTACAAAGTAAGAACAAATTGGTCCCTACTCAAATGATAGGAAAAATAGGTGAGGATTCAGGAGAAGGCAAAACCCAGAAACACCTGGGGTTGTCTACATCTGTATTATATTATCAATGCTTAATGAGAACCTCTGATGACACTGACTGCATAAATTATTCTCCTTACGGTAAAGGAAGCCTTCAGAAATGAAATAGGAAGGAAGAAAAGAGGGAGGAAGTAAAGAAAAAACATTTAACCCAACCTTACCTTAAAAGTTGAACTGAAGGGACCACCAGGTAGTGTGGTGGTTAAGGACCTGGAGTACCACATATATTCGGAGGTCTGAAAATTATGCCAGGTGCACACATAACTGTCCAGAATCCCAAGAGGAAAATGGAGGAGAAGGGATTGCGGTACGGCCA